TGAAAAGTTGATATTTTTAAATATAAAAAGTTACAAATTAATATTTTTATTTAAAAACTAACCATTAATATTTTTAATAAAAAAAACGTAAAATTAGCACTCTTATTTACATCTTTTATCAAATTTCTTTGCCATTTTCATACCAATACGTAATACATATACCTGCCAAATTATTTGATACACCTTTTTCTCATTTTGCTATGATAATGGACTCTTTTTGGCTATTTCTATACTAAATGGATTCGATAATTATCAATTATTATTAGAAATAACGCAACTGCATAGTTACCATGCCATGGCATAACATGACGGTGCCCAGGCCATCTCAAAATATTATGTGATATGGAAAGTAAGATATCAATATTTTTTATTAAATTGTACTCTGATTAGAACTTAAAATGCATTAAGGCTCAAAATTTTAAAAAGAACTAAAATTTTATTAGTGCCTAGATAACTCTTTTATTTATTAACATATTTTAATCTTTTTTAAATTTAATCTCAAATTGTAATCTTATTTAGAGATTTCAGTATTGTTTTCTTTAAATTAAAATGGTGATTGTCTATTTACTTTTCATTTTTAATTGCAAAAAATTGAAAATTAGATAAATTCAAGTAAAAATTGTTGCTTTATCTTCAAGATAAGATAATTAAAAAAACATTACTTAAATCTAATTTAAAACTTATATAAAAAGAACTCTTTTAAATTAGGTCATTTATTTAAAATTCAAACTTCACCTTATTAAATTTTTAATTTAAAATTGCAATCAATCTTTTTAAATTTCAAATCAATAGATCAATAGAACTTATACCTTATTAAATTTTGTTGTTATTAAGGTATAAAATGCATTAAGACCCAAAAATTTTTAAATAATTAAAATTTAATTAGTGTCTAGATAACTTTTTTATTTATTAGCTAATTTTAATCTTTTCTTTTTAAAATTTAATTCAAACTATGATCTTATTTGAAAACTTCTATATTTTTTTCTTTAAATTAGAATGGTAACCATTTATTTACTTTTCATTGTTAACTAATAATTGAAAACTAAATAAACTTAAATTAAAACTATTGCTCTATCTACAAGATAAATAAAATTGAAAAATCTTAATTAAATATAATTTCAATCTTATATAATAAAAACTCTTTTAGATTAGATCATTTATTTGAAATTCAAATTTTTTATCTTATTAAAATTTAAATTTAAATTCACTATTAGTTCCATTGCATTATCTTTTTGAATTTGAAATTAATAAATCAAAAAAACTTATAATAAATAATAGAACCTTTCATTTTTACCAAAAACAAAAATGTGAAACCTCTCTTCCTTTCAAGAACCATGGAAAATTTTATCAAAAGTTACTCAGTCCTCTACAAAACTAAAAATAAACAAATAAGTGAATATAAATTTAAAGCAAAATTCCTTGTGTAGCGGGGCAAGACTACTAATCTTTTATTAAACCCAATAAACTTGTGGAGCAGGTGTAATATGCCTTTTTCTTGGACAATAAGCAAGTCTTTGAGTCAATTTTGATATATTTTAAGACAAATTTTTTTTGATGATTTTAAGAACACCCCTCTAAGTTTAGTACATTTAAAGAAATTAATTTTTTTAAATACTAACACCAAAACTTAAATTTTAAATATGACTTATAAGATGATATTTATTTATTTTTTTTTTTTGGTAGATATAAGATGATATTTATTTATTAATAAATTTAACCTTTAAATCTAACTTATTAGAGTTGATTCAAATTAAGAGCTTGTTTGGTATAATTATTAAAATTCAACGAATGGTAGCTAGCAGGTAGCAAATGGTAGTAGTGAGTAGTGGATGTGGGTGATGGATAGTAGATAACGGATTTTAATTAATATAATTGTTAGTTATATAATGGTTAGCAGTTGTTATTTAATATTAAATAACTAATAATGACATATTTGAAAGCAATTACAGGCCCATTTGATATAGCAATTTAGGGATAATGGTTAGTAGTTTTTCCTAAACCATGAAGGGGAAGGTGTTCAGTAAATTTGTATATTTTAAAATCATTACAAATAAGGTGTTTGATAAAAATTTTTATTTAACAATTTAGAAGTAACAGATAGCAGTTAGAGTCCAAATTGCTAACGGATTAAAAAAGCTAGATTTGGTAGTTTTTTGTATTAAACTGCTAGTAGATTGGAATTTTTAAATTTTATTGAAAGATTTAACATTTTTAATTTTTTTAGCTACTAATTTTATCTAAAAATAATATAATTTTTCTTTGTTAAAAATAAAAATGAGTGTCTAATTACACTATTATAATTTTATTTATTTATTTAGTTTCTTATTATTATTATTTTTATAAAATTAATAATTTTAATAATAAAATATATAAAAAGAAAAAAAATATTTAATTGTTTTTGAATATGTCTTTATTAGTCATTTAACATTGAACAACAATTACTAACTATTATATAACCAAATAGTTATATCAATTGAATTCGTTATTTACTATTTACTACTCGCTTTTCACTATCCACCATCTGCTATTTGTTAATAGCCACCTGCTACCCGCTATCATTATCACTATTTGCTACCCGCTATTAGCTATTTGCTAAATTTTAAC